AAACAGAGGCGCGACAGAAATAACGAATACAACGTAGCTGGTATAGAGAGACGGAAGATGGGCTTTCAAAAGCCAGCCTTCATACGTAATGCCGGAGGGGCTGGATTTTATCACGAAGGCCAGGGCTGCAAATACATCACACTTGCCTCCACTTTCCTGTCCTCCACTCACGGTGATCAGTAGATTGTCCCGGCACTCCTTCTCAGAGCCTAGGCCCCACCTCAGAATCCTTCTTAACACACCGGCCTGGGCAGCTCCTGCCAGTCGGTGAAAGTTGACCTAAACGTTGACCTCTCTGCCAAGAGGACATAGGAGACGATAGGACACCACAGGGTTTTAAGCTGGCGAGAGAGGGTCTCCATTGCAGCTGAGAAGGGTCCATTGGGCAGCAGTACAGAGCAGAAAGACACACTGCTATGGAAATAAACGGGGCCCCACCAGACAGCAGCTAGGCTGGTCACAGACTGTGCCACAAGGCCTCCCATCACAGGGCTGGCACTTACAGCACCCTGTGGCCAGGCACCTCCACATCCTGGGCAGAGAGGCAGGAAGCCCCAGTGCCAGACCCCATCTCCACTGCCAGGGAGCAGCGGCTTTGCAGAAACAGCCCTCCTGACCCTCCACAGAAAGCTGGAGGGTCCCCTTGTAGTGGGGGGGGGGGGGTGCCTTTCTAGGCAGCTGGGAGAAAGGTCCAGGGGACCGGAAGCTGAGGATGCTAGTGAGATCCGGGCTGGACTGGAAGGCCGTGAAGACCGGACAGGCTCGCGGGCTGAGAGAAGATGGAGTGGGTAGAGGCCTGGGATCAGCGAGGGACAGCGTGAGTGATGGGGGCGCAGGGCCCGAGTCCTGAGTTGAAGATATTGAGATCCTGTATGAGATTCCTGCGGGGGAGTGAGAGCGGGGTATGGCCAAGGAGAGTGGCTGACGTGGACGGAGAGGCCGAGAAGAGTGACACTGGCCATGGGGGAGCCACATAACTGGACGTCCAGGTGCCAGGATAATGGCAAAATGGGGGCCGGGTAGAGAGTGAGCAGGTGGCCTCGAGGGGGGAAGTGAGGATGACCCATTGCTGCAGGTAAAGCACAAGGATGGAACAGGCCCTCCCCTGGTGAGAGGTCCAGAGAAACTGTCACTCATTCATTAGTACCAGCATCATTAAAGGTGCGGCCTGGAGCAGAGCACCCAGGGCACCTGGATGACCCACAGGAGCCTGAGGGACGGCCTGCAGCACAGGGGTCCATGTCAGCTGGACAAGGACCAGCATCCGGGGTTAAGCAGCTCAAACTGTCTCCTGACCACAGTGGGCACGGCCGAAGGATGCAGGCTGGGAGGAACGAGGGCAGATCTGCGTTTTGCAGACCCAGCATCCGTGCCTCCCCTTCTGCTCTCAGCGCCTGGAACACGTGCCTCTTCCAGGGCAGACCCTGAGCCAGTGTGCCCACTCTGAGGCCAAGGGGTGTGGACTGAACTCGCATGTGCAGGTTGAGGGGTCCAGAAGCCTGTGCATGAAGCCCCTCACAGTGTGGGAATAATCCGGGGTACAGGGTGGGCCAGGGCCCAGGCCGGCCCTCCCCGGCCACCACTTTCCAGACCAGAATTCTAAGCCTTCCTCACCTGGCTTTGGCTTTCCAGGTCATTGTGAAAGGGGACTTGTCACACTTGAAGGATAGAACCTACTTATTGAACTGTTGGCTAGCTTGATTCGTAACCTGCAGACACGTGGCTGGAGTGAGCGGTTTATGGAATGAGCACCGTTCTTCAGGGGGAAGGAAGCAAAACCAATTTTGTCCGTGTCTCCTGCCCACACTGGGTGTATTCATTCCCTCCTCTGCTGAAATCCAGGTAGGTCCCACAGTTCTTCTGGTTTCTCTCTCTCTCTCTTTTTTATTTTTTTGTGAGGAAGATTGGCCCTGAGCTAACATCTGTGCCAATCCTCCTCTAGAATTGTGTGGCTTGACGAGAAGTGGTAGGTCCACGCCCAGGGTTCTGAACCTGTGAACCTGAAGCACGTGAACTTAACCACTACACCACCAGGCCGGCCCCTTGTGGTTTCTCTTAGTCAGAAGAATACTCCCGTCCAAGAATTAATATTATAAATTTCTCTTTTATCCAAATTAAAACTTCTTCCTCCTCGAGCTGGGGGCTGTGCAACATGGGATGGGGGCAGGCCCACCCCTTGCGCCCTGTCACTCACTGCCGTTTTGGCCTCTTCAGGGTGGGACATAGAGGTATAAAGGAGGAGACAACAGACAAGACCCCTAATAAACATCTGTGGAAGGGAGGGGGGGGGGGAGGGGGGCAGGGAGGGAAAGAGACAGGAAGGAGGGAGGACGGGAGGGAAATGAGTGAGATTTGCATACTTTGAAGAGTTTCCCAAACGCATTATCCCATTATCCTTACTAGGGTGGAACGGAAGAACTGGGGCGGGGAGCTGGGCGCTCCATCCTCGCGCAGCCCTCCAGGCAATCACCAGTGCATTTCCCTTCAACTTTTATTTGGCATCTGAACTCTGTGGCTCACAAAAACCATTAGCGGTCCACACGTGGGGCTGCAAGATTCTACTGGAAACAGGCCTCTAAGGAATATGGGTCCTCTTCTTCTTTGCAAAAATAGCTTAAACAGAGGGGTCCACCCTGGGCTTCTGACACAGGTGACCAGGGTAAGGCAAGAGGCCCCCAGCACGTCACACCCAGACGCCCGGCCCAGGAGGGTGTGCGCAGGCAGGCACACATGCAAACATACACACACACACACACACAGAAAGGAGAACACAGAGCACATCCAAAATTCAGACGCCAACGGGCACAACAACCACGGAATAAACAAAGGTTATTTATCAAGAAACAGCTCTGTTGCTTTGCCCATCAACGGAGACCAAGCCACTGCAAACACATGTATGCAGCTAAAGCTGTGAAGAGCGCTGTGTCATGGGCTGTCCCCAAGCCCTCTGCTCCCAGGGCTCTTGAATTTCAAGGACATGGGCCACCTGTGACTGATGGCTCATGAGACACACGAACATGTGACACCCGGGCCAGCTCAAGCCTGCATTGCCCACGCTGGGCTTTCCGTGGAAGGGCTCAGTTACCCTCTGGAGCATCCGTCTCAAGCATCTGGAACCTTCTCCGAGCCCCCTTAACACCTTCTCGTATCCTATTCGGGAATCCATTTCCCACAGATTCAGCCGGATCCTTCCTGAACCTAATTACACCTTCTCCCTGCTCCCATCCTGGTGGGAAGAGTTCTGGAAGACAACCACATTTGTTTGGGCCACTTTCTATTTATGATAAACCCATCCCTTCAAGGTTTCTGTGGACGTCCCTGAGTTCCAGTCCACCGGACGCCAGCAGCCTGGTCCCCAGTCACTCCCTCCCTTCACAGACTTCACGGCTGGCTCCCCGCGGCATGCACATTCCAGGCTGCGGGAGCCTTTTTTCCCTTCCTACACTTTCTAATTACAAAAGTAATACAGGAACATATGCTCCTTGCCAAACATGCAAACCAGACACAAGCAGAGACAGGAAAAACACAGGAGCCCTCTTTACTCTCTCCCCTGGTCCAGCTCCAGGTCTCTCTATAGGTAACTGTCGGAAAGGGTGTCCTACAAACGTTTTCCTGGGCATTCATATACCTAAGTATACATAAGACTTTTTTCCATAAATGAGATGATGTTAGCCATATCATTCTGTAACTTGAGAACCCTATTTTATAGACTACTCTCACATGGAAGCGAGCAGAGGCCACACTACTGTCGGTGTTGGGAGAATTAACACCAACAGAAGTCTTGGGTGAGTATTTCCAAACAAAATGAGGGACATAAAGTTGCATGCAAAGCTTCCAGAAGCACTTTTATGCTTTTCTGAGTCTCGCCTTATCCGGCCATGAAGTGTTCGTTCTTCCCAGCACGACGCATGCCCGTCTCCCGGCCACAAGACATCGCCCGTGTTCATCGGCGTAGCCCTCTCGCGTTTGGTAAACACCCAGGAGGAGAAAAAACCGGGACCTGTCTCTGGCCTTCCTCCGTAAAGATGGCAGTGGGTGCCCTGGAAAGCACAGGATTTGGAGAAACAAGACAGGAGGTGGGTCCTGAGCTGCCACCGACTTGGGGACCTCTCCTCGGTTAGCGGAAAGATAATACTCAACAGCAAACCCCGGAGTGGTTCCAGGATCCAAAGAGACGGAGGGTACGAACGCAGGTGTGTGTTCTAGAAGGCTATCGCGGCAAACGAGGCGCTCGGCAGCTCTCATTCGCATGCTTTCGCGTTTTCTGGGGGAAGGCAACGGCGGGGCGAGGACACGCTCCCCTAACCGTCCCGGGGTGGCCAGGGCGCCACCTGCCGGCGGCGGCGGAGGCCGTCGTGGGTCCCGCGGTGACCCCGCTGCTCCTCCGACCCCACCGCGGATGCATCGATCGCGGCGGCTTCCATGCCCCCAGGTGGCTAGCGAGCCGCAGCCGAGGCCCCTGTGGCCCCAGCCCCAAAGACCGAACGGAATCGCCCCTCCAGTGTCCCCGGGCGGCCGACAGGAGCGACGGGGCACCCGGCCTTGGCAGCCCCGGGACCTGCTTCCCAACACAAAGCCGGGCCGCGCAGGTGAGCTTGGCGGAGCCACGTGAGCCGGGCAACGTCCCGGGACGCAGCCACCGAGCACCGGCGAGCCGCGGTCGCCCCGCCGCGCGCCCCCTCCGCGCGCCCCCGCCGCAGGTTGGAGCCACCTCCGCTCGGAGCCGGGAGCCGAAGGGGCGAAGGGTGGGAGAGCACGGAAAGGAAGAGAGAGGGCGGGCGCGGCCGAAGCCCACCGCAGTCCCAGCCCCGCACCTTCAGTCCCTCCGCCCGGCGCCCCCAGCCCCGGACCACCCCGATCCCCAGCCCCCGACCCCCAGCCCCGTCGCCCCGAGTCCACAGCCCCCCAGTCCTCGGCCGTCCCGCGTCCCCGGCCCCCAGTCCCACTGCCCCAAGCCCCCCTCCCGCGCGCCCCCGGGCCCCACCGCCCCTCGCGCTCACCGGCGGCCCGCGTAGCCGCTGCCCGGGGAGCCGGCGGCCGGCTCGGGGTAGCCGTGCTGCGGCAGGGCTGCGGCCGGGAAGGGGTAGAGGAAGCCGGTGGCCAGCGCCGAGCCGCAGAGGCAGCAGCACGCCCAGGGCAGGAGCAGGGCCAGCTTCATCTTGCGCGGCCGCCGCGGGGCCCCGGAGGCCCGGGCGCAGGACGGGCGAGAGCGCAGCGCGGCCGGCCCGAACCCGCGCCCCCGCCGGCGCAGAGCGAGCGAGCGAGCCGGGGCCGAGCCGAGGAGTCGGGGGGCGCCCACGCCGCGCCGGGGCCGCCTTTTCAAATTCGGCGAGGTGGGCTCTGCGCCGTCAAAGGGGGCGTGGGGCTTTCTCATTAACCCTCGGCGGTCCGGGGCCCAGGAGGCGCCGTGGCCGCTGAGCCCGGGTTCCAGCTCCGCAGGGGGTCCCTCGTGCCCGGAGAGGCAGACCTTGCGCCTGGGATCCCGCACGCACGCTTTCTAGAACTTTCGCAAGCAAAGGCGATTCGAGCCCACAAACGCTTGTGGAGCCCCCGCCCTGTGCCTGGCAGTTTCGCCGGGGCCAAGTTGTTTAATCTCCGCAACATGGCCCTGCGTGTTAGGAGGTACCACTCCCATTTTTCAGAAGTGGAAACTGAGGCTCAAAAAATTTAAGCCAGAAAAATACCCACTCGTTGTCCAGGGCTCTTTGGACCGAACCATTGCATGGTCAGCCTGCCCCAGAATCCTCTCCCCTTCGCCTCCTGTGATGAGGGAAGCACTGATGTGGGGTGAGAAGTTGTCCCCACCGATTCGTGAGGCATCGGATGTGGAAAAGAGCTGGGGGAAGAACCCACCTCTTAGGATGGAAAAGCTGAGTCCCAGATCACACACTGGGCCCACGGCCAGACGGCCAGCCTGGCCCCAGATTGATCTTCTCTGGGCTGCGGGATCCCCACAGGGCTGTACCCCGCACAGGGGACAGGTGGGACCTGCTTCCAGCCTGGGCTCTACTCCCCAAGTTGGGAGTCTTTTTCTGATTCTCCCAAAAGCATCCTAGGGACTGGCGGACGCCCTGGGGCCGTCTGTGCCCCTGCTAACAGTGGGGCGCTCCCGGTCTGTAAAATGCCCATAGGACTGGAGAGAAGCCATCGAATATGGAAGTGGTTAATGGGCTTCAACACATTTTGTGAAAGAGTTGCGGGACTGTTGTTAGAGGAAGGCAGTTGAAATGTGGAAGGCTGTTGAAAATGTGGAGGGAAAGGCCCACTCCTGTGGCATTTGCCATCTTGTTTATATATCTCAACATGTCCCCATGTGTACATCTCCCATCTGGACCCTTTTGAGTATGTATCATATCCCAAGATATCACATCCAACCTGCTTCACCCTCTTCCCAAACTACCCTTCCTTACCCATCAAACCCCTCAGATCCTGACGGGCCTTTTGAACAGAACTTGCACACTTCCAAAGTCTTGGGTCACCAGGAACCGGGATGGATAGAGTTCATCTCCAACAGACAGCCCCCTGTCCGCTGTAACTTCAACCTAGGACCACTTCCTTCATCTCGTCCTCCATCCCTTTCTCAAGGCCTAAAAGATTTGGAGAATTTGGGTTATCAGGGGATTTTCAGTGCCTCCCCCAAAAGGAATCTGAACTGTGCTCCTTGGGCAGTCGGCCAAAACCCAATAAAAGATGAGGTCCCCCCCCCCCCCCCCCCCAGGAATCTGTAAGCATTCTGTCTTTCTCCCTCCCTCCTTTACTTGCATAATGAGATCTTAAAGACCAGAGAAATTCCTTGTCGCTGGAAATTGGCTTTTTGCTGGCAGGCATTACAGTAAGGGAACAAGAATTTAGTTTTTATCTTAAATGCATGTTTCTGGTGCCAAGGGCTGCACCCAAGCTAGAGGGGCGGAAGAGAGGAAGGGGTAACACTGCCCCAGAGACTGCAGGATTCTTTAGCATGAAAAGCTTTAGGAAGACAATTAATCCATCCCAGAAACTTCAGGACTGAGGCAGCCGTCTTGAGTTGCGTCCCCCTCTTCACATCTGGGACAATAAAGTCCCTCTGGCCCCCTGAATGTTCGCCGGGAAACCTCTGTGTGTCCAGCCCCATGTTGGGTGCTGCAAAGGCTGTTAGAGAAGCAGATAACATGGTTGTCACCCTCAAGGTCCTTACGCTGTTCTTTAGGAAGCGTTATGATGGCCTTTTTGCCTTCAAAAGAAAGCAAGCAGTCTGGATAAACGTTCTGCAAACAAGAGGTTCCATTTAGACGGCGAGGGATAAAAAGAGCAAGATGCATAAAATCAGGAAGAGAAATATGATCTCACTCACACCACCCAGACCCAGAAGCCCAGGTCTGCTCCCAGCTGCCCCACTGACTTGCTGGGTGACCTGGAGTAAAGCCTCTTCCCTCTCTGGTCCTCCCCAGTGTCTTCATTTGTAAAGTGAAGAGTGGATTGGCTTGTCTCTGAAGCCCTTGCCAGTTCTGGCCTTTCCCTTCACTTTTCGCTTCATCCTCCACTCCCGTCTCCAAGGTGGCTGAGGATGTTCCCAACCTTATGGAGCCATCACTCTTGTAGGCAAGATTTTCAGCTGCAGCACACACCAGTGGGGTCGTGGGAGCCAAGAAGAAGGGAGAAGGATTCTGTAGCATCCCAACCTAAAGTCCCCACGGGAGCACCAGTTAGTATAGTCCACCTCCAAACGCATAATAGCTGTGTGACCTGGTACACACTACCTAACCTCTCTGAGCATCCTCATCTGTAAAATCAGAAGAATAATAACGGCCCCTAACGTCCGGGTTTGCTAAAGAACTCAATGACACACTCATCTAAAGTGTTTGGAATGGTGCCCCTGACACATAACGCTCAGCAAAGCTTCGTTATTACTCTTTGCAAGGCTTTGGTGAGGGATAAAATTGAAGAACATAGCCCTTCTCAAACCCCCAGGGTGGGCCCGGCCAGGAGGCTCCTACCTGGGGGTGCCGGGAGCTTTCTCAGATGACACTTGGAGCCCCAGGATAAACGGGGTACATCTTACTCCACAGTCAACAATTAAAACTTTATTTTAAAACAAACCTGGGAATATTATTGAGTTGAATGTGCCGTGGTGGTATTTTTCAAGACAAGACATACTTGTGGTGGTGAAAGTGGCAAAGTTCGAGCAGCCCAGGAATAAAGGACGGGCGGGGCCCTGGGGGGGGGTCTGGTGCGCCCCGTGGCCTCTGACCCGCTTTCCACACAAGCGCTCGTCTCTGTATTTGAAAACTGCGCCTGCCGCTGTCCCAGGACGTGTTCGGCTTCAGTTGAGGCAGAAGCCACTGTCCCCGGGGGCCTGAGAAATGGAGCGGTAAAGGCTTGGGGTGGGACCCAGGTTGTGGCATCGGCTCCTTCCTCCTCGCTTCCTTGGGGACCCTCGGCGATCTCACCACCCCTGGAACCTGGCTAAAATGGAAACTGGACAAATAAGGGTCGGGGGGCTTCACCGAGCCCCCCTCCTCCACCGCCCAGCGCAACTCTGACACGGATACGCAAGAGCTGTCATCGCCCCATTTTTCAGAGATGAGAGATGAAGCCATGTGTCCGGGATCCCGTGCCCCTCCCCCCCTTCTGTAAGTTCAAAAGCGCCTGAGAAACGGGGTGGTTTGTACAAAGAGGGATTAGATTTCCTGGTGGAAGAAGACAGCCCCCCCCAACCCGGGCTCCCCCCACCCTCCAGGCTACATCAGAGAAGCGGGCTCCTCCGCAACTTTGTTTCCAGACCTTTCTGATAAGAAAATATCGGTCAGCATCCTCTTCGGCAGACAAAAAGCAGAGCTTCGCTTCTGCTGAAGTCAGCAGAGAGCCACCGAACGGAGAAGTAAATACACATCAAGCCGAAGCCAAGGTAAATATTGACCTTCTGGCATGATGGATCCTCCCGTTAATCTAAACCAGAGATCTCCCCTCCCCCACCAGCCTGGAGGACACGGATTCTGCGGTTCTCCCGAAGTTCAGGGAGCGAAGGCGCGGCGGAGCCCTTTCCATCCTGATTTCTCTAGCAGACCAGGCTCCCAGCTGCGCCGGATCCAGGACCGCACAGCAACGGGGTGCAGTCGACTCCAGGTAGCGGACGTCGCCACAAAAGGGCCTCTTTGTTTTGCTGCAAGCTTTCTGCTCTCGGCCAGGGCAAAATGCAAGCAGAACGGGGACGTTATGGAAGATGCCGACCGGAATTTTCTTCTTGACCTGGACACCCCCAAAATTCCACCCAGGCCCCATAAAAAGGAACACTTCTTTGCTCAGCCTACCTACAATGTAAACCCACCTATTTCCCCATACGTTGGCAGTGAAAAGGACGTTCAGATGACAGCAAATTAGATGGCGACCACAATAGCCCATGATCTCAAATAGAAGTTTGGCAGGGAAAAAAAGTGTTGAAAACAAAACCTAGGGGCAGGCAGATGGTGTAGTGGTTAAGTTCCCCAGCTCTGCTTCAGCAGCCTGGGGTTCATGGGTTTGGATCCTGGTCAGGACCTACACACTGCTCATCAAGCCACACTGTGGAGGCGTCCCACATACTAATAGAGGAAGATTGGCAACAGATGTTAGCTCAAGGCCAATCTTCCTCACAAAACAAAAGAGAAAGAAAAAGAAAAAAGAAAGAAAAAACCTTAAAAACTCTCAAAAATAGGGAGTCTGCCCAATCACCAATGCTGAAGCCCACCTCAAAGGTGGTGATAAGAAGTTTGTTCACTAACATAGCCCCAGAAATAATGCTTCCCAGGAGCTTAATGACATTGCTTGGTGATCAATGAAGAAAAAGGCTGTCTTAGTCTGTTCGGCTGCTGTAACAGAGTATCACAGCCCGGGGTCCTTGTAAACAACAGACATTTATTTCTCACAGTTCTGGAGGCTGGAAGTCCAAGGTGAAGGTGCGGGCAGATGTGGTGTCAGGTGAGGGCCCCCTTCCTGGTTCATAGGCGGCTGTGTTCCCCTGTGTCCTCACATGTCGGAAGGAGCCAGGGAACTCTCGGGGCCGCTTTTGTAAGGCACTAATCTCATTCAGGAGGGCACCACCCTCTTAACCTGAGTACCTCCCAAAGGCCCCACCTCCCAGTACCATCACATTGGGGGTTAGGATCCCAACAGATGAATTTGGGGGGACGCAAACATTCCATGCATTGCAGGGGGCTAAAATGACAAAAGAAAGAAGAGATAACACCCAGGGCAGCGTTATAAGTTTTACGCCAG